GAGAGGTTTAGATAAGGGGATTGAGTGATAAAGAATCAGTATCTGACCTGATGAAAATATATTTATTCAATGTTATCCACCATGTACTTTTGTAAAGATACATTTGGTAATCATATTTAAATGCATCATTCATTATGCAAATTGAAAACTCATGAGGAGAGTTCTCCGCATGAAAGAACCACAACTGGCAAATTAATGTGCTAGACATTTCTCTATGAAATGGTAGGAAATTAAATTGAATTGAATATGGAGGATTTTAACTGTGACAAGATTGACAAAAATAATGTGTGTTTTTTTTAACTTTCAAGCATGAACGCCTATAATAGTAGCGCCCAAAAACAAAATTAAGACTTTGAAAAAGGGTTTACATATTATTATCAAATTTGGTAAAAAAAAAAAAATTTTAATAAAAAATTTATGATTTTTAATCCATAAAATGATTCTATGATGGGAACCCCTAAAAGGTTCAATGAAGCCCCTGACAGAACCCTGCAAGGTTCACAGCCTTTTCTTCTAGGAGTGAACACAATCTCATGGCAATTCGGGACGTTTTGGCGAATTGGCGGTTTGTGTGTGTCAGCATGTGAATGAAATCTTTCAGTATCCCCCAGCTGCCCTGTGACACAAACAGTGCATGTGAGACTGAAAGAGGCTTACTGTGGCACCACATGACTCTTCCCATAGTCCACCTGCTTCACATGTCAGTAAAAGTAGAGCTCAAACACTTCACAAAAAATCTCTTTATCAAAATGACTAAATCCATGCAGCCACATGACACTGGGAATAAAATCCACAACTAATGAATAATTAACAAGAATCAATAAGCGCTTTGCAAACCGCTGCTTATAATTCAATTAAATGCAAGCAAACGCTGAGATCTCATCACATGTAAATGTCAGCGTTACACAACCCTTTAGAGCACCAAATACAGCTGGACCTGACAAAATACGGCACTCTGGAGCTGAGCTGATTTACAGGTTTTATTTTGGCATGGATAAAAAAACAACCTGTACCATTGCCTCGCTCTTTAATCTCCTCCTGGGTGAGCAGAGGCTCCAGAGACCAGCGAGGAAACCTGGCAACACGGTATACAGACACGTACAGAGAAGCACTCAATGGGAACTATTAGAATTCTTGTTGACTTCAACATTGTCTTAATGCGGGTATTCAAAGTGCCTCTCATGCACATGATTAAGAAAAGGAGAAATAATTACATTAAAGTCAAGTTTATAAGAACATAAAAGTGACGGGATTTCAGACCCCTCTGATTTCAGAAAATAAACAAATACTCATATCGTAAAAAGATCCTCTGCGTTTTTCTTGATGCGGGCATTCGCATTAAGGAGATCTAAATAAAAAATTTTGTTTGCATTAGTTTGCATATGCTTTAAAAAGTTTATTGGAAAAAGAATATAAAATACAACTATAAACATGATGATAATTGGTTTATTAATGGCTCGTTTCCACTGAGGGGTACGGTACGGTACGGTACGGTACAGTACGGGTCGGGTCGGGCATGATCAGGCTTGCGTTTCCACCGCCAATACCCTTACTTGATAGGCGTGGTGGTATGCTGGAAAGAAGCGATCGACGTCATTTTCGCGCGAAGAAAGCGACATAGTAAACAACAATGGATGACAGACAGCGGATCTTGTTCTTGCTTCTCGGCATGTTTGTCACTACAAGCGCTGCCATTAGGCGTTTCCAAGAAGCCAAGGCAAAGTCCGACTCAGGAGAATGATCACGAGGACGCGAGTCCAGTAATTCTGTTAATGGAACAGCGCGTTTGAACGCGGTACTCTCGCGACTCCGGTTATCTCTGTGTGTTCATTTGGCAACAATAAAACGAAATATGTTATAAAACACCACTCTGCTTCTTTTCGATTTCATTTCAATACTTTGTAAACATTCTAAAGCACATAAGTGGTTAAACAACCCTGCCTCTTTTCGTTTAAATTGAAAAATATTAAACATATTCCAGGCAATATGTAATGTAATGTATTGCATATCGCATAAATGTTGCAATAAACAACATTACAGATGATCTTGTAGCCTAATAAAATAAAATAAATTACAAAACTATCTCTTTTTGTTGAATTTCAGTTTTATCAATAATAGCCACTATAAAAGGTACAAAAAGGTATACAGTAAAGCTTAAATAACATCAACAAACAATTCAGTCAGTCAAATATAGCCTACAAATTCAGCGCTCAAAGAAATGAAACTTCACGTAGCCTTCTGCCAAAACTATTGGCCAGGGAACGAATAATAGATTCACGAGACCAAAGATCACCTGTTAGGTTTATACAAGACCACTACAGAGACGTCCGAGTCAGCGGCAAACATCAGAACGACTAGCTGAGGAAAGGCTGTTCCAGGCGGGGACACGAGCGCGAGCGTCCGGTGATCGCTTGGAATGGATCTCTGTCAAATTATCAAAAATCTATAAATAAACCACAGATTTGAGCTTTAAAAAGTACTTTCTCGCCTGAAAAACTCTTAAAACTACATTTAGCTCCACCTTTTAGTACCCTTTCACTGCGCTAGGTACCCCAACGGAAGGGTAGGGCCTACCCAAAAAGTGGTACGGTACGGTTCGGCTTTTTGGTACCATTCACAAATTTTGACAGTGGAAACGCAAATAATTGCGTACCGAACCGAACCGTACCGTACCGTAGTGGAAACGAGCCATAAGTTACCTTACCAGTGTGAAAATTTGCATTTAAAAAAGGCAGTGCATGTCATTTTATGTTGGTTGACAGTTGATCAGTGTAGACCATTCATCAACCTATGTTAGATATTACAGTAGACATTTATATTTTAAAAGACCTGTCATTGTAAGTTGCTTTTAACATGATATAATTGAAATATGAAATATACAAGCTAAGCTGTATACTCTGAGTATTCTGACCTTTAAGTATTTACAATGAAAATGTGTATTTTAAAAGGAAATGCGTGCCTTTTTAATTGAAAATCAAAAATAAAAATTAAATTATACATCAATATATAATTAAAATATGGAGTACAAATATCAAATATGATATAGTTTGCTATTTTATAATGTATACACTATATTTCCAGTGGTAGGCCATGTAAAATCACAGGGTGGGGGCTGTGCATGATCGCAGCTGAGAAAGAGGGTCTTATAGCAAAACGAACCCCCCCCCCAAAAAAAACATTTTAAATACAATTGTAGATTGAGCTGATCTGCAACGCGCCTGGAAGTCCAATATTCGAAGAAAAATCCAGAAATGTTTTCCTCGAAAAACGTATTTCTCTTCCACTGAGGAATGAAAGACATGGATATCTTGGATGACTTTGAGGTGAGTAAATTATCAGTAAAATTTTCATTTTGAAGTGAATTAATCCTTTAACGTGCATGTGCATGTAAAGGCAGACGTCCCAAAACTTTTGGCACTGTAGTGTAATTAAAGTGACCATTCAACAAGAATTTACACTGTTCTTGTATTTTTAAAGGGCATTGCATGTTATTTTAAGTTGGTTTTATATTAAATATCACATCACTTTATAAAGAAAAATACAATTGTGTGCTGTAGAAAATGACCATTCAACAAGTATATGAGATAAGCTACTAAATTCTCGCATTGATTGGATAGCTTACATTTGTGCATTGACTCTTAACCATGCAAGGCATGCACAGCACCAATGTGCATGTATGTGGGAAAATAATAAAAGCAGCGAGAGTTGCTAGCCCGCAGCTCACACCCTTTGACTAACATCCTGGACAGACCATCTGTCTGCAGACAATCGCACACACGTGTCATATCAAAGCATGAATTTGGATGAGCAAACTCTTTATTATAGGCTACTATAGCAAGGGCAGTGATGTAGTCAACTTCAGTTTTCAAATGCCAGAAATTAGACCTTGATATCTGTGAACAATGTGTGACCTTGGATTGTGATCATGCTGTCATAAGATTTTATTAAAGCATGTAATAAGAGGAGAAATGAGGACATGGGAAGGCATCATGGCACACCATGCAGCGTTATGGAAAAACACCACCTAAGGATCACAATCGGTTGGCTTTGCTGTGATTGGCAGACACGTTTAGCTCAGCATTGTTGCCATATCAGAGTTTGGATATCTACCCCCTCTTTCTTTTTCTTCTTCTTAAGTTGATCCCAAAGTTTTGAGTCTAGGAAGATTATCCCCTCACAAGGCCACTGACCCCTATGTGACCTCACTTGCACTACCTACCTATATCTGGAGATTTTGTTTTAGCATGACAACCATGGGACTGAAACTTAAAAAAAAACACCTGGGAAATTATTTATTGTTTGAGTCAGTCATCGAGGTCTTTGATGGAACGGCATCCGTTTGCTTTCCAGTATAGTAACGTCACGCAAGCAGAAGTCTCCGTCCTTATTAACAACGCGCATGCGCAAGATCAAATTCGCGATGAGATGTAGAAATGAATAATAGAGCGTGGAAGGGCAATTTGAAGAGTTTCCTTAAATGGGCGCGGTTTAATGTAAAAATGCATTGCATTGCACTGGTCTTTGGACAAGTCTAAATATTGAATCTTATTTTTAAGACTTAACTGGGTATATTTTTTGTGAACTTTGTAATGTTTTTCATCACCATGATTCGGAAGTAAATTAAATTGTAGTACACACCACTGCTGAACCAGCATTAGCAGCCACGTGATACCTGTTACAGTTTTATTCGCTGGTAACCATGGATTAATCATAGTCGTTTGTGATTAACTGGATGCGAATCATTATAGAAATTGCTTGAAATAATTTACTTTATTGTGTCAGGTGCCAATCATTGAAAGCTAATAGAAAGCGTGTTCATGAGACAAAAACATGATAGTTTGATGAGACTCGATGTAGGTTACAGCTTTCTGTGCCCCCTGGTGGTGTCTGGTAAACTCTTATTACCAAGAAACATAATTGCCGCCCCATGGCGCGATGCTCGCGACGCCGAGCGATATGAAGCGATACGTGTGCTTGTCTCTTTAAGAAACACTCCTGTTGCACGAGAGCCTGGTGTTTTTCCACTCTCTCCGTTATTACATGCGCTCCCATATAAGACAGAAGTCGGGGGGAGAGGGCGTAATGATTATTTCTCTTGCTTTGTAGCCTCACCACAAGAAAGAAGACAAAAGAACAAGAGACTCGGACAGACTTGAGCAATAAATTGCATTGTCAGGTGAGTGACACCTTGCAGCCATCATGACAGTGGAGGCTGATTAAGCGCATCTTTATATATACATCTGATTTATGTTTCAACATCTCGTTTATTTTTGTCTTAGGCAGATACATAGTATTTTTTTCGATTAAAATATATGTTTATTTGCGTCTTTGAGAAGCGTATTTTTTTTGTGTAGATTGAATTATATTTTTAAACTAACTCATTTTTTGTACAATAACGACACTTGGTCACTGCTTTAAATTTAAGAATATTTATAAATATTTTCCCATTCAATAGTTCTTAATAGAAAATAACATTTTTTTAAAATTATTATTATTATTATTATTCTTTTTTACAAATAGCCTACATTATCCCCATATTTCAGGTTTCTGGCATTGTATTAAAGCTTTGTGTCTTAGTTGTTGCGCACAAATGCTCTTTCTGCCCAAGTGCTCTCACAGGCTTTACAAGATCAGTGTCATTAAATATTAAATGCATATCAATTTATTTTTGATGCACTGTAATTAAAGCTACATTTTAAGTACTGGTTAACATTGTACCAGTCTAATACATCTCCGGTGACTGACAGCACCCTCAGGACCATCACAAAGCATCATCCTCATAGCGCGTGCTTTAACCGGTCAATAAAATGTAGGTTAATGTGAATTTATTCGGCACTGCTCGTGCATGTAAACACTGACACCGCTGGAGATGGACCACTCTCAAACCTGTCATGTGAATTCGTCAGACAAAATGTAGGTTATTGGGACATAATCACGATTTTAACTTCTTATCATGTCCGTTGGCCTGGTAGTGTGGTAAATAAATGCATGATATGCATTAGAGATATAATTGGTTCACAAATGCATGTTCATCTTTTGCTCTGGCTCGTGCAGTCTTTGTATCATGCGAACTTGGAATACAAATTTGTTTGGGAATTATAATTTATTCCGAATCCGTTGCTCGGGTTTCCAAATTAAACACTCACAAAAATGTAATTTGATTTGGAGCGCGCGCCGGAAAATTAGGGCACGTGCGTGATATTATTCAGGTTTCATTTTGAGACCAGACAGGTTTAGATTTAAGCATGACATGCAGTGCTTGTCTTCACTGCTTGATATATGTGCCACCATCCATACCTATGTGGCAGTGGTATACACTTGATTATGATGGTCATATTCTTGTACTTCAGAGAGCCTAGCAAGGTATTATATGTGGTTAACTTTATTTAAAGGTGTCACTGTTAAAGTGTAATTATTAGGGCTGTCAAAAGATGAATCGCGATTAATTGCATCCAAAATAAAAGTTTGTGTTTACATAATATATGTGGGTGCACTGTGTATAATAATTTTGTATATATAAATACACACACATGCATGTATATTTAAGAAAATAATATTATTTATATATAAAATATTTATATTTACATATAAATTTATATACATATACATGAAAATATTTCTTAAATATATACAAGCATGTGTGTGTATTTATATATATAAAATAATTATACACAGTGCACCCACATATATCATGTAAACACAAACTTTTATTTTTGATTAATCGTTTGACAGCCTTAGTAATTATATATCTTAAGTGCTGAGTATTATAAATGAACACAATCGTACTTACTATAGGGTTAGGGTAGGGTTTGGTTGACGGTTAGTTGCATGTAATTTTGCACAATTTACTGTTATTATGTTAAGTAGCCTACATGTAACTAGGACACTGTAAGATAAAGTGTTGCCAATATGCTATAGAAATGCAAAAAAAACAAAAACAAAAAAAAAACAAGGTAATATAATTGCACCATGTTTTACAACTGGTTCTTTTTTTTTAATCCCTAACCTTTACTGATGTTGTACAAAGTTGGCAAAGTATTCTGCTCATACTTAAAAAGGTAAATCACTGTTGGAATGACTAGACAACAATGAACTTCATAGTGTCTGACCTTCCATAATTAATGATGGCGTTAGAGTAAGTGCTGCCGTTTCTGTTCATAATATCCCATTTGCTTTGATTTGGTGTTCGATTATAAATGGACATTAGAGCATTAAAGCTTTTAGCCCCATTCCTTTGTGTAGTTAATACACCCAATATTGTGTTTCATATTTGATGGTTAGTATAAAGAGTGTCATTTATAACCTTCAGGGGTTTTAAACAGCAGAATATTCAGACAACGTTATGTCTCAGCTTGTGGCCTTCTGATACGTTGTCTCATTCTTCGTTGTCTCATTGATTAAACGTGCATTTGAATAGCTTGTTTTGCTAGTGAGATATCATTGTTTACCTATACCAAGGCTAATGAGAGGTCTGGAATGTTTTGAAGGTCATTATTGGGGTCAAGGTTCATTGAAAGCTGATGGTGGCTGAGATAGCTGAGCTGTGAACTGGCCATATTTCTTTGCTCATGGTCAAGTAGTCTACACTGGGACAACAAAGGGTATTTAACTAGCAGTCTAGCGTTCTCAGTCAGCTTTCCCAGTGCATTGTTAAGGATCTGACAAATCCGTCAAGTCAACTTTGTTTTTAAAGTGCTTTATACAACAGAAACAGGTTCAAAGCAGCTTCACAACTGGAAATGAAGGATGCTGCTGTATTTAGACAATAGTTTCATTATTCAGCTCAAGTCAGTTCAGCGTGAGGGTGTGTTCACATTTGTAGTTCCCTTGGTCCTTTTGGTCCAGACCAAAAAAGAAAATGATACATTTAGTCCTGGTTGCATTCCCACTGACATTTTTAACACCAAACCTGAAGATACAAAACAAAAAAGATGGCTTTTATGACGTATATTTTGTGACGGGACTTCCAAAACAATGCTAAATGCGCTCACTGTATGTGCTTAGCCTACATATGATGGTATTTTGCTGTGAGGAGACACGGTTGACGAGACTATATGACGAGAAATAACTGGTATGCTTGTCTTTGGTCCATGTTGAGTTCATATTACATTCAACTGCAACTGAGTTTATTTGGAAGCGGATCGAGACCCATCTTTTCAGCGTCTCAGTCCCCTTGTTTGGTGCGCACCAGGGTACAGATGGTAGCGTTCACACTTATTTGAATGAACCGCACTAACAGATCAATCGCACCAGGGTTTGTTTTAATCCAACTAATATTTTCATTCATTATAAAACAAGTTCAATTCAGCTATAAGCAGCTCTACTGAGGACATTAATGTCTTTATTCAGCTCCTCAGTTCAATGTCGCTTCAATTCAGTTCAATAACAATGTCAATGTTGCAAACTTCATCAGTTTTGAAAAACTTTCAGCTATAAAGCAGAAGACCGTAGTGTTATTATTCAACTCAGTTCAGTTTAAGTTGATTATTATGGTGTTTTACTGCTCTAACACACACCAGAGGAATGTGAGGGCGCACGTCTCAGTGTTTGGCTCGGTCGTTGACATTGCTTACAATAAATAATGACACGCTGCTTGTTGTTCAGATGAAATAGCAGAATTTTTCTGATTTAATGGTTTGTCGAATCGAATTATTTCGAAAATAACACAAGATTAGTCTACATTGGGTTTCAAAATCGAATTTACAATCAAAACAAGTTTTAGCAATTTTGAAAACTGTTAAACCAAGAAATAGATCACTAATTTCTAGATCACTAATTAAATCTAAGTAAATGTCAGATCAAGATGTTCTTTGGATCCTCTCAAATTATGCAGGAGAACCCGATCATCAGGTTTTGTTCATGTCCCAGACACCAATAGTGTCGGCCCAGATCTGGCCGACATGTGTGGATTCCACGTGTGCCAGATTCCAGATAGCACAAGTCTATTTGATGCAATGTTTACATCTGGAAGACGTATTTTTAAGAGTGTTTGCTCATCTGCAATACATCTATTGGATGTTTCCTGTCAGATGTCAAATAGACGTTTAGAAGATGTCAGTTTAACATGCATTCTAAATCATTACATCTTAAAGACATCTTCTAAATGTCTTTTTGACATCTGACAGGAAACGTCCTATACCCAGATAGCACAAGTCTATTTGATGTGATGTTTACATCTGGAAGACGTATTTTTAAGACTGTTTGCTCATCTGCAATACGTCTATACGACTGTCAGATGTCAAATAGACGTTTAGAAGATGCCTTTAAGATGTAATGATTTAGAATGCATGTTAAACTGACATCTTCTAAACGTCTATTTGACATCTGACAGGAAACGTCCTATAGACGTTTTGCAGATGAGCAAACACTCTTTAAAATATGTCTTCCAGATGTAAATAGGACATCAAATACCCTTGTGCTATCTGGGGAGTGTTTGCTCATCTGCAATACGTCTATACGCCTGTCAGATTTCAAATAGACGTTTAGAAGATGCCTTTAAGATGTAATGATTTAGAATGCATAAACTGACATCTTCTAAACGTCTATTTGACATCTGACAGGAAACATCCTATTGACGTATTGCAGATGAGCAAACACTCTTAAAAATACGTCTTCCAGATGTAAACATCCATCACGTCATACTTGTGCTATCTGTGGTTGTGGGCCGGATCTGTGCCGACACTATGTTGCTGCGTCAGTAAAGCAAAAGAGAGACCAAAAAATTACTGAGACATTTTCAAATTCCTTTTTGCATTATGCTGATCATATCATTTGTAATAAAAACAGTTGTATTTAATTGTCTTATCTGTCTAGCCTTCATCAGAAGGTTGTTCCATAACTCAGAGTCAGTGCGTTTAGATAACTCCCGATAGACTCTTAAAAACAAAGGTTTCCGAAGGACAAAGGTGTTCTCCTTTAGCAATGCAACAGAAGAACCATTTTTAGTTTAATACCTAAAAAAACTTTCAGTGATCAGTTCTTAAAAGAACCATTTTTTCCCTTAGTTTAAAGAACATAAAAAAAATCTAAAGAACTTTCTCCACACTAGAAAGAACCTTTTGTGCAACGGAAAGGTTCTTAATGGAACCATCAAAGCTAAGAACCTTAATATTTTAAGAGTGAAGGAATAAAAAAGCAGGATGCTAGTAAGTCATGCGCTAACCTCCTACTACTAAGAATATATATGCAAATGGTATCAAACCTCCAAACATACAGAGAGAAGGTAATGGAGTGAGTTAGTTGATCAGCGTCTGTGTTTGACTTGTTAGTGTGAGTTTCAAACAGGATATCAGACTTCATCAGCTTCCTGACAGCCTGACCCGCATTTCAGAGCTCAAGTCTTACTCCGATTAAAGGCCATGAAACACTATACACTGGTGTTTGTGTGAAAACAACAGTTACCTTTCCTTGTTATACACTGTACATGAGTGGAATACCAATACCGAAACCGACCGACAGGACACCAAAAGATGAGGCAAATGGGTAGTGATCAAGAGGGGGAGAAGAACGTTATATTGTCCTCAACGCATGTTTAACCAATAGTACCTAGATTAGGATACTTTGATATTCACCGTTCATTTCAGTTTATAAGCTGTCAAATCAGACTATTAGAACACACTAGTAAATAAACAGTATAGTTGAAAGCATATGTCCTGTGAAGCAAATGGTACAGACGTGTCATTGAGGTGCAAATGACAGAACCACCCTGTGCCTGGAGTGTCCCAGCAGTCCTCAATCAGCATATTGATGAAATCCCTTGCACTAGATATAGGCATTAGCACACAGTGATGATGAAGGCCATTGTGCCATGTTTAATTCACATGTATACCTTTTTTAAGTACCAGGGCAGTAATATTTGCCCATATTTGCTCAGCCCTACACGTATGTAGCTGCATCGTTCACTTCACGTGAAATGTAATCTTAGTTGTATACAAGTTCGATTTTGAGGCTACTGTGTTATTTAAATAATTTCTCCGGAAGTTTTTGCATAAGCTTTGAGCAATCAGCATTGAGATCAGCTCTGGCTTATATAACAGTCTCAGAGGATGTCATTTTTCATAGCTCAAACTTTCTGCTTATTTACTTTGTATTTCCTTGTGGGTCTTCATAAAGCTGAATCCAGATGAATCACACACATATAAACAGACATTTATGATACACTACTGCCAAAAGTTTGTGGTCCGTCAAGTTTTGAATTGATTTGAAGTCCCCCAAGGCTATCAAAAACACAGTAAAAACAGCAATATTGTGAAATATTATTTCAATTCAAATAACTGTTTATTTGAATATACAGTATGTTGATGGTGGACATTGGTGGTGATTCAATGCAAAGCACTTTGAGTACCCAGAAAAGTGCTATATTAATGTAAACAATTAATCATTATTATTAAATGTAATTTATTTCTGTGATCAAAGCTGAATTTTCACATGATCACATGATCCTTTCAGAAATCATTATAATATGCTGATTTGATGCTCAAGAAAACATTTCTGATTATTATCAATGTTGAAAACAGTTGTGCTACATGATATTTTTGTCAAAACCGTGATTTTCTTTTCATTACGGGTTTAAAAGAACAGCATTTTTTTGTTTAAATGATAAATATCTGTGACTTTTGAGCAATTTAATGCATCCTTGCTCTTCTTTAAAACATCTCTATCAAACTTTTGTACTGGATATCATTCTCAACCCCTTCCGCTCTCTTTTTCTTGGACTCAGTATGGCACAGAAGGAGAAGTTGCAGTGTCTCAAAGACTTCCATAAGGACACATTGAAGCCGTCTCCTGGCAAGAGTCCCCGCACGCGTCCGGAAGACGAGGCGGAGGGCAGAGCGCCGCAGCGGGAGAAATGGGCCAGCAAGCTGGATTTCGTGCTCTCTGTGGCCGGAGGTTTTGTTGGTTTAGGCAACGTTTGGCGTTTCCCGTACCTCTGCTACAAGAATGGCGGAGGTGAGTGTTTCCATGTGTAAGATGACAACAAAGATAACACTTTTCAGTCTTTGTGAACTGTAAACAGTGTGATATTAATGCCTATTTTTTGCTGGTTTACTAAGTATTTCATATATTAATTAGGGCTGTCAAACGATTAATCACGATTAATCGCATTACAAAATAAAAGTTTGTGTTTACATAATATATTTTTGTATATATATATATATATAATATATATACACATGCATGTATATTTAAGAAAAAATATTATATATATCTAGAAATATTTGTATTTATATATAATATAAATTATATATAAATTTATATACAGTATATACATGAAAATATTCTTAAATATATAATACAAGCATGTGCGTGTGTATTTATATTTATATAAAATAATTATGCACCCACATATATTATGTAAACACAAACTTTTATTTTGGATGCGATTAATTTGGGTGCGATTGATTTTATTAATTAAGTTTGACAGCCCTAATATTAATGTATTATATTCTGTGCTGCGCTAATGAATATATGTTTTAAAAGCTATACATTTATATACTATTATTGTTATATTTATTCATTTGAATTAACTTTTATTTTCAGTTTCAGTAATTTTATGTGCTTTTGCCATTGTACTATTTTTTATATAATCTATCCAGCTTTAATTTTTTCTTTCAGTGTTAGTTGTAGTAATTTGAATTCTTAAATTTTTCTGTTTTAGTTAGTTGCTAAGTCAACATTTCTAATCTTAAAGGGATACTTCATCTCTGGAAAGATGAATGTGTATTGAAAATGGGTCATTTATAGAAGAAATGTGAAATTATTTTTGAATTTGGAGCTTTCTAGACTGAGAAAAGCCAGAAAATGTATGTTTGGCTTATGTGGATGAAAGACAACAACTCCCAGAATGCACTTGCTTCGCTGCCCTAGGAGGCCACGCCTACGGTAACAGAGCGCTGTAGTTAAACAACAAGTCTAGGCTACTAGTGAGTCTCCGTGATGAGTCTGCCCGAAAATGTGTTTCCGGGAACGCCCAAAATATCCGGGATTCGGCTTTTGCGTTCTACAGTCGCCATTCATCATCATGTTTACTGTGGTGAGCGGGAAGAGTGAGGGCCAAGAACAAAAGCATGCTAGCTTAGCTTAGCTTAGATCTTCAATGTTATTTCAGCTTTATTGCAATTAATTAAAACAATTTTTAATAGTTTTAGTTAACAATAACAACACTGGTTTTAGGTTCAATACAAGTTAAACTACCAATAACATTTGTGACATTGTAAATTACTATAATAGTAATTTAAACTGGTCTCTACCTGGTCTTACCTGTTGTTGTTTTTTTCCAGGTGCATTTCTCATCCCCTACTTCATATTTCTGTTTGGCGGAGGGTTGCCTGTCTTCTTTCTGGAGGTGGCGCTCGGCCAGTTCACCTCTGAGGGAGGAATCACCTGCTGGGGGAAACTCTGCCCCATTTTCACTGGTGAGACAAATAGATGCATCAAGAGAGAGAGAGAGAGAGAGAGTGTGGACGAGACAGG